ACAGCTCACAGCAACCTCAAACTCTTAGGCTTAAGTGATTCTCTTGCTTCAGCCTCCCAAGTAGCTGGGACTACAGGCACCTGCCACAACGCCAGGCTATTTTTGTTGTTGTTGTTGAGTGTATGTGACTGGCACCCTAGCTGCTGAGCTATATGCGCTGAGCCCATTCTATACATATGAAGGAAATTACTTCAGTTACCTTATGGGAAAATCTGTCATCTTTATATTCAGAGCACTTTTAACACTAGATGTGTATGGGATTTTCCCATACTGAGCAATCCTCCAATTCAACAGGGTGTCATGCAATTCAATCCTGACACTGTCTACTTGGAGTTAGCACAGACCTCTTGGGTCAAGGGCTCAGTTCAAGAAGACTGCACCCCACTTCAGATACCAATCACACACCCATGTTTTCACCAGAGCTTTCTGATTAGCTATAAATCTGAGATTCCCACAATCCCCTCCTTCGGTTTGAACATTTGCTAGAATGGCTCGCAGAATACAGATAAACAGTGTATTTGCTACGTTACTGGTTTATTATAAAAGGGTACAACTCAGGATCAGCAAGATGAAAGATGCATGGAGCAAGGTGTGTAGGAAGGAGCACTGAACTTCTGCACCCTCCCTAGTCATGCCATCCTCCCAGGACCCACTCCACAAATTCAACAACCTAGAAGTACTCAGATTCCTGTCCTTTTAGGTTTCCATGGAGGCTTTATTATGTAGGCATAATTGATTAAATCATTAGCCACTGAAGACTGATCTCAATCTCCAGTCCTCTTCTGCCAAAGAGTTAATGAGGGGTGGGGTTGGTTTAAAAGTTCAAATCCTCTAATCACAAGGCAACCAGCACCCATCCTAAGGTTCTCTGAGGTCTTTCCAAAAGTCCTTTCATTAACATAAACTCAGGTGTGGTTGAATGGGGCTTGTTATGAATAACAGAACACCCCTTCCATCTTTTAATTTTTAATTTTTTTTTTGAGGCTGGATCTCAGATATGTTGCCCTGGCTAAAATACAGTGGCCTGAACATAGCTCATTGCAACCTCAAACTCCTGGGCTCAAGCAATCCTTCTCCTATGCAGCTGGGACTACAGGGCACACAACCACACCTGGTTAATTTTTCCATTTTTTGTAGAGGTGGGCTCTTGCTCTTACTCAGGCTGATCTTGAACTCCTCTCCTCAAGAAATTCTCCCACCTCAGCCTCCCAAAGTGTTAGGATTTTAGGGGTGAGCCACTGTGCCTAGCCCTCTTCATTTTAGTCACTCTTGCCACTGAGGAAATTGCAAGGGTTTTAGGAGGAGATGAAGACCAAATATATATTTATTATAAATCACAGTATCACAGCTCCCATTTTTGTCCAATCTATAGATGACAAGATATATAGTAATAGAAAAATCTCCACACTTTGATATATTAAAAAATATTTTGAAAATCCTCTTTCACACATTTAGAAGCTGTGATTAAATGATAGTGAAGAAGTAATTTTAAACCAATAAATTTTATGGGCTGTAAAAGTAAAATAAATCAATGTTTGCTATGAACATTACAGAAACTTGCACAAACCTATGCTCACTAGGAAAACAAAAACTAGACCCTCCCCAACAAAAACTAATAACAAAAAAACTGAGTAAGGGGGCATTAGAGTTATCTAGTTAGTATGTTTAATACTAGAATAGTACAGCATGTTTACACACAGGGAATTTACAGATAGCCATCTACATTAGCATAGGGAGGACTCTCTAGCTGTTAGAAGCTAAGTGTCATATTAGTACAAATGTCACGTAAAATATGAAGGGGACTTAAGTTTTCCCTACATTCTCTAAAATAACTGCTGATATACAATTGGTAATTTGGGCTCTAAAGGTTTAAGGTTATAATACTAATACGTTTCCTTCTGAGTTGATTGAACACATCCCCACTAATCTTTAAAATATCTGATAAGTTCTGCATTAATGTTATACATTTCTTGCAATGACAATAACTCTCCTTTTGTGGATAATGTCTGAATAAAAGAGCTTTTCCTACATTATAGCAAAAACAGGAGTTGGTTTCTATTGTTGCTGACATTTAGTGAAAATTTTATTCATATTGAAGGTTTTCCCACAACTCAAAGGACTCTTCTTTAGAATTTTGCTTAATTTTAGTGATGTCTAATCTTCGAGTTAAACTTTCATTATAAAAATGCAGTTTCCTCCATATGGTTTTTGTTAATGTAGCATAAGAGTTGAGTATTGAGTAAAACCTTTTTCATACTCATCAAGAGCATTCATAAGATTTTTTCCTAGTATAGTGTCTCTGGTTGATGTATACCCTAGAGATTTTCCTGCATTCATCACATCTGGACTGTCTTCCCCAGAATGGACTTTCTCATGATTAATAAGATCAGAGACCTGGTTAAAACTTCTGTTGCACTGAAGACACTGGTAGGGTTTCTTCTCAGTGTGGATTTTCTGGTGTTGAACAAGATCTGTACATGTTTTGAAGGCTTTCCTACAGGCATTACATTTATATGGCTTTTCCCCAGTATGGATTCTTTGATGGTTAATGAGATCAGAGCGCCGACTAAAGCTTTTGCCACATTCATCACAGGAATATGGTTTCTCCCCAGTGTGGATTCTTTGATGTAGGATAAGAGCTGAGCACTGACTGAAAGCCTTCCCACACTCACTACATTTGTAAGGTTTTTCCCCTGTGTGGATTCTCTGGTGTTTGATAAGGTCTGAGTTCTGACTGAAACTTTTGCTGCACTGTGTGCATGGATATGGTTTTTCTCCAGTGTGAACTCTCTGATGAAGAATAAGGTCAGAACTCTGACTGAAGGCTTTCTCACAACTGTCACAATGATAGGGCTTTTCACCAGAGTGTACCCTTTGATGTTTAGTGAGGTCTGAGCTTTGACTAAAACTTTTACTGCACTGGTTACATGTATACGGTTTCTCTCCAGTGTGTATTCTTTGATGCTTAACAAGATCTGAACGGCGACTAAAGCTTTTAGTACAATCACTACATGGATAAGGTTTTTCTCCAGTGTGGATTCGCTGATGAAGAATAAGGTTGGAGCTCTGACTAAAGGTTTTCCCACACTCATCACATTCATAGGGTTTCTCACCTGTATGAATTCTATGATGTTTAACAAGATCTGATCTTCGACTAAACATTTTACTGCACTGATTACATGGGTAAGGCTTCTCTCCAGTGTGAATTCGTTGATGATTAATAAGATCTGAAAGCCTACTGAAGGTTTTGCTACATTGATTACATGGATAGGGTTTCTCTCCAGTATGAATTCTCTGATGCAGAATAAGGACTGAGCTCTGATTAAAAGCTTTTCCACATTCATTACATTTATAGGGTTTCTCTCCAGTGTGGATCCTTCGATGTTTAATAAGGTCTGAGTTCTGACTGAAACTTTTGCTACATTGATTACATGGATATGGTTTCTCCCCAGTATGGATTCTCTGATGTAGAATAAGATCTGAGCTCTGACTGAAGGCTTTCCCACACACATCACATTTATATGGTTTCTCCCCAGTGTGGATTCTCTGATGCTTTATAACATCAGAACTCTGACTAAAATGTTTGTTACACTGGTTACATGTATAAGGCTTCTCTCCAGTATGGATTCTCTGATGTTTAACCAGGTCGGAGCGCTGGCTGAAACTTTTACTACAATGACTGCACTGATAGGGTTTTTCTCCTGTATGGATTCTCTGATGTATAATAAGATCTGAGCTCTGACTGAAGGCTTTCCCACATTCATCACATTTATAAGGTTTTTCACCAGTGTGGACTCTTTGATGTTTAATAAGGTCTGAGCTCCGACTGAAACTTTTAATACACCAATTACAAGGATAAGGTTTCTCCCCAGTATGAATTCTCTGATGCAGAACCAGGGCTGAGCTCACAGTAAAGGCTTTTCCACACTTATCACATTCATAGGGTTTCTCCCAGTGGGTTCTTCGGTGTCTAAGCAGGCCAGTATTCCAAACAAAGCTTTGCCCACATTCATCACAGTTATGTTGTTGTCTTTCAAATAGGTTCTGATCCTTTTCATTTAATTTATCCCCAAATCCACAGAATCTTCTTCCTTCACAATCCTGGAGAACATGCTCTCTGAGGTTGTCAGATGCTTCAGTCAATGATTCAGTTTTTGCTGTAATTACCTCCTCTGAATCTGACTTCCCAATCTGGGTCTTAGTCTTACCATCTGGAACGATAAACAAAATCCAAATGAAACATTTTCTTCAAACTGTAAGAAGGTTTCAGGTGAAACAGATGAATATTTATCTATAATATGTTATCACACTATGGGAGTGTTCCAAAACAGTGAACATTATCCACTGAGAACACAACTAAGAAAAATCAACAAGTAATGTATCACGTTCGCTATTTATAGAAGTGACTTACCAGATATGTTTGTCTCCTATATTTGTTGCAGAAGATTTGGGAATACTAAAACCTAATCACTGTGATCAGGAAAGTGTGACTGAATTAGAGCTAACAAATAAGCAAAATTTATTAATATATAAATAGCATAAGGTAAGCAGTGTGAAAGAATCTAGAGAGAGAAGTGATTAAGCTTTACCTAACACTGTCTAGCCACTTAGGCTAAAAATATGGTATTAATAAAAAAGAAAAAAAAGAAAAAGAAAAAGAAGGGCAGTGCCTGTGGCTCAAAAGGGTAGGGTGCTAGCCCCATATGCTGGAGGTGGCGGGTTCAAACCCAGCCCCAGCCAAAAATGGCAAAAAAAAAACCAAAAAAAAAACAACAACACTTCAATTACCTTATTCGTATCTTCTCTTGTCAATTTTTAAAAATAGTACAAAATAGATTGTTAACACACCAGTGGAGCATGTACTGCATTCTAAACACCTTACACAATAAAGCCATAAACATGAATGACCTTGGTCCGTAACTATAGCAATCACATAAAAGACTGAGTTTTCATATGAGAAATAAAAATAAAATCTTAAGACTTCTAACTGAAAGAACAGACATCCCCTTAGCCAAGTGGAACCCAAGAGAAACCTTAAAAACTGAGTTTCC